CGGCGCACGCTACGCGCGGACGTCAGCGCGCCCGACGTGTGCACGTTGCAATCCGCCCCCTCCCGTAGGCGGCGAGGCGCGGGGCGCCGGCTGCGCATGCGCCTAGGGCACTGTCTCAGACGATGCTTTTCGGTCTTGCTCGCTTTGTGGGGTTTTTTGCGCCTGGCTGAAACCAGAACTTCTCTCTCCCCGTTCCCTGGCCTTCGGGACGGGGTGGCTTCACCTGCAAGACCTCGCTCTGTGGAAGCTGCCCCCGCCCGTGAGGGGTGTGGGTGGGTATGAGGAAAGACTCCCAGGCTTTTGGACTGGGATGCACCAAATCTCAAAATGGCAAGACGGGGAAGAACCCGAGGTAACGAGAGCATCTTAGGTGTGGTAGAGGAAAGGCTTTCACGGGCTTTATTTTAGTCACCCTCACCAAACCCCATACGGTGGTGGGCCTTTGGGTCATATTTAAAGACAGGAAGGGAGGCCCCCTGAGAAGTGCTGGCCCAACATCGCGCAGCCCGTTAGCGGCACAGGCTTGGCTCCAACCCGAGGCCTCGCTGTTCAGTTGTTTTAAAACAAGCTTACGGTTTATTTCACTGGTCAGTGTAGCGCCACAGTATAGTAGTTATATTAATGCAGTACATAGAAAAAGTGATTTTTCTACCTTAAAGTGTGCCCCCCTAAGGGATAGGTTCTAAACTTGAAAGGGCGGGCACAGCTGAAAGAAGTCAGTTTTGTTCCCGTTTTCAGACACGTTACTGGTGAATATTTTACTTAAAAAGAATAAGTAGAGCGTTTTTGTGTATAAAACTAAAACTGTTGGCTCCTTCAATTCTCAGTTGCATGCCTTTTTGCCTCTGTTTGACCTGATCCTCTGAATCGCCCTTCCTCCCAGCACCTGCCTGTGTAAATCCTGATCAGCTCTTCAGAGGCCAGGTCTCTAGAGTGTGACCTGCTCCCCTAGTCAGAAAGTTGCTCAAAAGCAGGATCTAGTCTTAAACATTTTTTTTCCTTTCCACCTAGCAGAGTCCAGATCCAAGTAGGGAGTCAGATGTTTTTTTAATTTTAATGGAAATTACACCCCTCACTCCCAGTTTTTGCATGTAGATTTCCCCAACCATAATTTAAGGTCTTTATTTCTCTCCCATCCTCAATTGCTACTTTCTGTACTAAACAATTGAAGATTTAACTGTGGAATAACACAACTGAAAAACTAAGGCCTCTCTAGTGACAGGAGGATGTAATAGAACATGAAAAGGCCACTGGACTAAATAATAATAATAAGTGTGGCCTGGCGGCTCAGCACTTGAGCATCGACCTAGGATCCAGGAGATTGCGGTTTGATTCCGAGTCAGGGCACATGCCCAGGTTGCAGGCTCGACTCCCAATAGCGGACCTGCAGAAGGCAGCCGATCGATGACTCTCTCATCATTTATGTTTCTATCTTTCTCTCCCTCTCCCTTCCTCTCTCTGAAATGAGTAAAGATATATTTTTAAAAATCATAATAGTGTGTTCTAGTCCATGCTTCATCCTTTCTGGCCCATTCAATAACCTTTGCTTAGTCATGTGTAAAAAGGCCTAACAGAGTTACCTTTCCTACTTTAGACACAAGATTACTATAACCATTAAATGAGATGATATATGTAAAATAGTTTATATATAAAATAAATATATATATATTTAATGCTATGCATTGTTACTATTATCTAGAGTCACTTAAAACTTATCTGGATTATTGAAAGTTAGGTCACTAACACCTTTAAACATTTGATCAGAAGTGTATGCAACTCATACCCTGTAAATATCTAAAGTAATTGGCTGAAATCTCCTTTCAGAAAGCATAAGGAGCCTCCCAATCTTTGCAGAGATTTGGGTTTGGTGGGGAAGCATTTAGACTTCATCATTTAGTTATCTCTGTGAGTGCCTGCTTCAGCTGAATTACTTCACAGATTATTTTAAACTCAAGGGCATACCTTCCCACTCCACTGGGCCAAGGTTTCTTTTATCTTGTTTTGCTTTGTTTTGTTTTCTGGTCTGTTTGGTTTGCTGCGATAGCCCTAATACCTAAAACACCTAGGCTGCATGGAGCTTAAAGTGTAGATATTATTATCAAGTCTCATGGCTAAGATGAAGAAAGGAGTTGGCAGGAAGTGGAGAGGGGGCAGAAAAGAAATGAAAGAAGTCAGCTTCAATTGTTTTATCACCTACGTGCAGTATCAACCTGTGGGTAGTGCCTACTGCTTAAAAAGTACAAGGGATGCTGTCTGCCCCTGGTGAAGTACCTTAGATAACTTTGTGAGCTACTAGGTTTCACAAGTTAAAATGTGACTAATCCATATAGAGAAATCACAGGTGTTTTGTATTTCTTTGTAGTTTTTCTATAGCTTACATACTCTTGGAACTGACATAAATAATATGGAACATCTGGTTACCTTAAGAAACTGGAATAGAAAATACATTTTAATTACTGTTTTCCTTTATTACCTCATTCCTGAGACTTAGAATTACTCAAGATTATATTTATTGAAGGTTAACTGTATTTATTGTATTACCTTTAACTTCTTTTAAAAGAGCCCTATAGCCCTGGTCCAGTAGCTCAGTTGGTTAGAACATCATCCCCATATGCCAATATTGTGGGTTCGATTCCCATTCAGGGCACATACAAGAATAACTAAGTGGAACAATAAATCGATGTTTTTCTCTCTATCTCTCTCCCTTCCTCTCTCTCTCTAAAATCAATAAATAAAAATTTTAAAAAGAAAAAGAAAGAGCCCTATATTCCGTGACAAACCTGAAGTATGACGCAAAACAGATGCAGAATATAGATTTTACTTCTGATTCTTAGTGAAAGTTTTCTTTAAAAATATTGAAGGCATTACTCCTTTGTTCACAATAGCCGTCTCCCCCCAACTCACAACCCAAACTTTGATCTTTACCTTTGAGAGTGCCTTTGATTCCTTCATTGATATATGCTTTTTCACCCTCTTTTAGGGCTCTAAGGAAAACCTCACTGATGTGGAAAACCACTGCTGACTTAGGCAGGTTTAATTGTGGTTGTCTTTCACCATGTTCTCGGCAGCTTGTCAACAAACCACACATGCCAAACAAGGAAGCAAAACCAAATGAAGGGCTAATGTGCTAAAGTTGAAGGTTAACGGGGGGAGAAAAATGCACAGGAATTCATTAACCAGGGATAAACAGCTTGCTGGACCTAAGGTATCTTGTGTTTATACCTTCTGTGGAGATTCATATCTTTTTGTGTGATCCCGTTTGTTTTATCTTGTGGTTTGGAGCCTTGCTCTCTGTGCATTTTAGGATAATTTGAAGAGCTTTTATTGTTATTAATTTTTAGTCTTCACCTGAGGATATGCTGATTGATGAGAGAGAAGGAGGGAGGGAGGGAGAGAGAGAGAAAGAGAGAGAGAGAAGTCTATATGAGAGAACACTGATTGGTTGCCTTCTCTATGGGCACCGAACAGGGATGGAACCCTCAACCTAGGTATGTGCCCTGACTGGGAGTCGAATCCACAACTTCCTGGTGCACAGGATGGCGCTCCAACCAACTGAGCCTTACTGGCCAGGGCTGGAGAGTTTTTAAATATGTATGCCTGCTCCTCATTCCCAAAGTTGCTGATTTAATTGGCTTGGGGGAGGGGAGGCCTGGGCATGAGTATTTCCCTGGGTGAGTCTAAAGTGCATGCTAGAGATGTGGGGTATAGGACAGGGTTCTATAGGGGTTGTTAGGATATTTGAAGTATTTAGAGTATATAATATAAGGCATAAAGACAATGTAGACAGTCAAAATATAATTTGTTTATGGCTTAACAAGAATTGTAAAGATTCAAATTATTTTGAGTTGAAGTGATTATTATATGATAAAGAATAGAATGTACATTATATTGAATTACTT